ATGTTTGTATTCTTCTGATAATTGTAGCCTGCTAATAACATTAAATATCAGATGAAAGGCTATAGCGGCATTCTGTTTGCTTAACTGGTGAGAAGACATTTAAAAAATGAAATGGCCTGTTAACTAAATGCATTTATTTTGTCTCATTTGTATATTATTAAACAAGTGTATATGTTTTCAGTCACACATGCATACCATGGAGTTGTAATTTATATCTCTTTGAAATGGCTTCTTTACTTTCTCCAGATAATATAAGGTGTTGTGGAAATGCCAGTAATGATAACAAAGTTCATTCATGCACAAATTCGCTCTTCTCGCGGTTTATAGATAAGGCCTATTGTGAATTGGGTCACAATGATTTGTTATTTTTGAAAAATAGGTGAAACCCGGACACAAAACATGAAATAAGTCCTTTTTAGGTGAAGTATCAATGTTTTATTTTTTGTTTGTTTTTTAAAATAATTTTCTCCTGGGTGGAGTTGAACCAGGGGTGCTGCAGCTACTTTTCATGTGTGGTAACCATCTGGCTACCAAGGCGATCCTATATCAATGCTTTATGTTCATTTCTGCATTGTGTCACCTTTATTAGATTTTTAAGCTCAGTTTGTAGCAAAGGGAAGATACTCAATACTTTTCTACATATTGGGTTTCAAATGATCAGAAGAAAAGTACGGTGGCATTTAAAGGGGAAAAAAGAGGGTTCATTTCAGTTGTTATAATTTGTACATAAACAGCATTGGGATCTGTGGGACCCCAAACAACAAATCCCAACCGGAATTATGAGAACTGGAACTTCTTGATATGATTTTCATAAATTGTAATTGTACCACTTCCTCATATAGTTTACCATAAATTTTGAAAGCGTAGTAGGCCTTGATGTCGCGCGGCGCCATCTCACTCAGAACCGAAAACATGTCCAAGAAGTCGTCCAGTGTCATGTTTCCTTCTCCGTCCTCAGAGAAAACCTCAGCGATCCTCTGACGAAATGGGTTGTCCTGACCAGAGGGGACACAAGTCCTCCTAGCGGTTAATCCTACAGAACTATGAACTGGTGCTTGTTTCCTGTGCTCATGATTGTGTGTTTTTGTTCAATTCATATCGCATGTTCTTGTTTGATTTTCATTTGTTTTGTCTTTCGAATGAGAATTCAAGTAAGCTCTAAAATTTTGATTAGTGAATGACCGTGAGGGGAAAGTTTCTCAGGACATATCAGAGATCAGCATGTTAACACACCTGTTTACCTTGCTGTCATTGTGTAAAGAGGCATATAATTTATCCATTTCCAACAAGTGTGCCCTGAGGGACTCACCAGCATCCTTCAAGTTTAAAGGAGTCGGGTAACGTATAACGTTTCAAAGAATTCTGTCGATTAGTTGGCTATTAATTATGGATTGGGAACACAGGGAGAGAGCGGGTCTGCAGGGTGTGCGTGGACCAGTGGACCAGTGGGTCTACCTTCAGCTCTGGCATGCTGCCAATCAGCTCATATGGTAACTTCACATCTGGCTGGCTGGTGTAGTCGAGGGGAACGAGCTGCGGTGCCAGATCCCGATAGCGGTCGAACAGTCTAGGGAAGGTTTAAAAAAAAGTATTATTATTATATACAAAATATCTTCTATATTATATAGTTGTGTATTCGTCATTAAGAAAACTTTAGATACAAACTCCCATGCTGTGTATTTCTCTATATTGTGGTCAACACTGAAAAAAGTTTCAGTGCTGTAAAGCTGATTTGAAATACCATGTGATCTCAATGGTAGCCTGCCCCACAGTAGGACAGGCTTCCTGATACTGTAGTTTAAAGTTACAGAGTAGTATTGTGCAGAACGGAGCAAAATTCAGCCGTGTCATATGTGTCACACCAGCAATGACTCCGATATAATAAGATGTTGTACCATTCTGATATCCGTGAAATAATTTGCTCACCTGAGAATTTCTTTTCTTGTAAAATATGTACAGTCCTGCGAATACAATCAGATTAAGGCGGGAAAGTCAAGTTATTGCAAAGAACAGCAGGATGCAGCTGTTCAAGTGTTCTAAATCACTTGTTTGACACAAGTTGGAAGAAGATATTCACATAAGTAACAGCAGCGATACCAAACTATAAAAGTACTTTTCAGTTGAATTAAAAGTCATGCATTTAAAATGTTACTCAAGACAACACTTAAAGTACTTAAAGTATCAAAAGTACTCATTATGTAGAATGTATAGTTATTGCTGCACTAACATGTACACATTTAGATAGCTAGTTTACTTTTGAGTAGTTTCATATATAATAATGTATCACATATTTGTATCTTTTTTTTGTGCATGATCATATTATTTTTATTCGTAGTAGTAGTAGTAGTAGTAGTAATAACTACTGTATAGCTATGAAATGACTGTAGTGAGGTAAAGCTCACAAGCTAATTTCTATAAACATTTCTATAAAATGTAGAGTTACAAAGTAGTCTCAAATGCAAATACTTACAATACTAGTACAAGGGCCTCAAAATAATACTTAAATACAAACTCCAGTAAGGTAATTAAGTAGAGTAAATGTCCTGAGTTAAATTCCACCACTGGTTTTATATGCAAACATATCTGTTATACAAATAGCTCTTTCACACTTGATTAGAAATATCCAATGAATTATATGCATCCTATCATTGACTACGTGTTGATTGTACAATGTCGGAAGACAGACTTTTCTCAACAGCTGGGTTGGAGGTTGCGTCGTGAAGTCTGACAAGTGTATTAACGTTGTTTACAGATGCCGGTAGCTCGTGTTGATAAGAGAAGCACCATTTAAAGTGAGTGAGGCTAATCGCCTCATTCAGAAAGAAACAGGATTGACACCAACCTGATAGGCATCTAGCTGCTCTGCTGTAAAGATGGTCTGTTTATTCCCCATGTCTGAGCCCGCAAACACCGAGCCTCAGGTCCATCGCTGCTCCAGCATCAAGTGCTTTTTTAGGGTGTGTGGATATGTCAGATATGAAATACTGGGACAAAAGGAAGCCAGAGCCAAAGAGGAGATCAGGTGTCGGGCTGCCACCGGGCCCTTTGGTCCCCATTATAATGGCAGCATTTCATCGTTTTCTCCTTTGTGAATAGCAGACCCTTTGACAATGAATAGGGGCTGTCGTCCAGCATCATGCCAAGTGGTATCAACCCCCCTTTAGTGCCACTCTATGGCCAACGCCTCGGTCACAGCTCAGGTTACACTCTTTAGAGACAGGGTTTTGTAGTGGGCAAATAGACTTTTTGATGGGAGACAAGTTGTATTTCAGCTAAGAACTCCGTTATTGGATATTTATCCAAATATTTAATGCATTTCCCCTTTCAGTTTAAGGTCAGTTACATATCTGACCTAAAACTAAATTTCAAAAATGATTTAATTTACAAGTATGACTTGAGGCACCGAAATCTAACTTTTCTTTTTTATCCTGCATTTATATTTTTAAATAGCCGAACATGCACTACATGACTATTGCATGTATTCCACCATCACCTCACTCTGTTGTGCTTGTAGGCAAAGCAAGGCAGTTCTATTTATAACGCATGTTTCATACTCAAGATGCTGTACAGAGAAATGAAAAACATTTACAGAGTTAGATGAAATCAATTCGGCGTTAAAACAATACAATCAAAGAAAAGATACAAGATAAGATAGTTCAAATAAGAATGATGATAATACTACGATTCCAAATAGTAACAATAATAAAACAGTGATGATAAGGCGTTTGGCTTTAATACGCTTAGTTTAAAGAACTAGAGAATAATTGCATGCTCATTGAGCAACAAGGAAGACCTTAGGGTAGAACAAGTGGTTTAAATGCCACAAAGAAAGGTTTCATGACAAATCAGCTTGCATTTTTTTTGCTGGAAAATCATGTGGTGTTGTTTAGTCAGGGCACTCTACAACTAATGTCTAATGTCATTGGTGGGGTGGTTGGGCAGGTTGGTTTGTGAATGGATGAGTCCAAGTTTTCATGCAGTCAATCCTGTTTTTGCAGCATTTCAGTCATCAGACCTGTAGAACAGACAACTGGGTGTAACTCCTGCTAGCTAGTAGCTTGAGGGAAGAGAGGCACGGGGGGAAACAGAACCAGGACTGTGCACAGCTGACTGTCAGACCCTGCTGCAGTAAAATGAGAGGTTTTCTAAAGGGATTGTTGTGCCACTTTCGTCCACAGGGACCACCCAAAATAAATAAATAAATAAAAATTCACTAGTTAATACAGCTTACCATGTTTCTGCTGCTTATCCAGAGGTCATTTATGTAGCGGCATTTTGGGACAGTTACTTAAATTAATTGATATGATTAGGAATTATTCTTATGTACTGCTGGGAAGTACTAAGCATGTGATATGATCATAAATAATTGCAGGCCATATTGTCCCTACTGGTTTTCCATTATAATTTTGAGTAGATGATCATGAAACTGATATTTAATTGAAATGTATGAGGTATTCAAAAGGTCTTAGATTTCTGAAATCCAACACTGCTTTATGTGATACGCTACATTACTAAACCGATCACATCTCTCTGATATGGTGTTTTGACTCACTGACTGTATTCCTGAAAGATTATCTTACAGGGATGCTATGTCCTGAAGTGTTATTGATTTGCATAGATCCACACTGACGAGTCAAACATTTGAGCAAATAGTGTAACCCTGTTTAAAGACATCGAATAACTCAGATGGCCCAGGGGAAGGGGTGGAACCTAATTTTACATTGAAAATGAACTGACACCAAAAACAGTTCAAGTTGCAAGACGGAACTATCTGGAACTTTCCGGCTCCTTAAAAGGTTTGATTCAATGAGTTGAGGCTGAGGATGTAGCTTTGTATCTTCTTTTACAAATTAAAGTAAATTCTGTTTTTAATTTTTCATCCTACATTGGATAGCTGTCATAAACGAGCAGATTTTGTAATGCCATGTTGAGAAATGAAATGTGCCTGCTGTCGTTTCTTCTGCACTCTCTATTGAGTGTCGGGGCAGAGTATGCCAGAGATGCCAGCCAACTCTAACAGTCTGTCTAGGCTGAGCACAGAGGACATTACAGATGACCACGACACCCAGACACACCAGGAGACTTCTGAGCCCTCGAGTTTGGGTTCTCCACCCCAGAATAAATGTGACATCAAAGGTTTTCTCAGGAGAAATGCTTTTGTTCTTCTCACTGTGGCTGCTATCGTCATAGGTAAGTCTTTTTCAAAATATTATCACTCAAAATTTAACTTCTTTCTAAAGTAACAGTGTCTTTTAATCTTACCGTTGAATGGATGTAATAAAAAAATATATTTTATGACCTTTTTGATCGAATCCGAGAGATTTGATAAAATAATGTGAACTGTAATGCTTCTGTGCATCATTGAAAGAATTGCAAACTTATTTGTGAGTGTTGATGACTTAATTTGCCAACTTTCTTGCCATGCCATGCAACTTTCTTGCTTTTGTCTCTTTGTAGTTGCATTGTGTCTCTTTGGAGTCATTTTGTGTCTCTTTGTGGTTGTCTTGCCCCTTTTCATATTCATTATGTGTCTCTTGTCGTAAGTTGCTTTTGTCTCTTTGTAGTCTTTCGTGTCTCTTTGTAGTTGATGTTGTAGTTGATGTAAATCTGGGATGAAACTCCATGTCTGTTGGGTTTCTTCACCTGAGTACTTTATCACATTACGGGCATGTTATTGGAGATTGCACCTGTTTTTGTTAGCATAATGCTATTTTTCCAGCAGTGCTTTATTGATTGCACTGCATTTGGTACCTCCTGTGAATGAACCAGTAATTTAACAGACACAATGACATGTTGCTTTGTTTACATTTCTCTGAGGGATTGGCCTGGGCTTTGCTCTGCAATCCTGTAACCTGACAGCCAGAAATATATAATACTTCACCTTTCCTGGAGAGCTGTTCTTACGGATGCTACAGTCGCTGGTGCTTCTTCTCATTGTCTCTAGTCTGATTACAGGTTAGATCCCTGGATGTTACAGTCAAATGGCCCAATTGGGTGGCTATGTGTGTGTATTATAGTGTGTCCTGCACAAGAATATTACCCTCCATGCCATTCTACATTATCAGTCTGCCAACCTTGTAAATCCAGTGATGTTAGTCACTAGCAGATGCTCAGTTTAACAGCATTCCCACAGAATGTTACAAACATCCTCAATACAATGTAATCCAAAACAGCAACAGCACCAATAGCTACAGCCTATAACTCAACTTTATAAGATTCACATGTTTGGGATTTATTGCTGAGCTTCGATGAATTGCATTGAATTGCACATGAAACCGTGATAAATTATGTTCATGTATGCCGAAGAACAGTGTGTAAGAGTATGTTTGCCATGTTAAAATGTTAATAATTTGCATGATGCAAATATGCTAAATATACTTTATATACTGTACATATAGTACATGTCAAACATATTTTGCTGTGGTATTTAAAAAAACAAACATCTAAAACATGGAGTGACATTCATATGCTTCACCTTATTTTCATTTCAGGTGTGTCATCTGTGAAGTGGAAGACTTCTAGTAAAATGGGGCTCCGGGCTATTTGCTATTACATAATAACAACCACTATGGCTGTTTTCACTGGCATCGTGCTTGTATCACCTGTAGGTACATCAGCGTCCTCTGGTGGTCAAGTGAAGGCTGTGCAGACTGTGGATGCCTTTCTGGATCTGATCAGGTGCATGCGCATCAAAAAGGATCAATGTACTTAATCAAATGTAAAAATTCAGTCTAAGCTAACCATGCTCTGTTTCTTTGCAGAAATATGTTTCCCTCAAATCTGGTGGCTGCTTGTTTCAGCAAGGTGAGATCTGAAGCCGTCACGTTTTGCTTTTTGTCTTTCTCATAATTGTACTTGACAACAAAGGTTTTCTACTTTTGTTCAGGAACAAACTGTTTATCCCAAAAGTCTTGGTGTTGTCAATCTGACCCAAACAAGTAGGTTCAGTAAGATTATCTTCTTTTGACCTCCTTAATAATTGTGATACATTGTTTTACATTTATTTTATTCAATACAAATGGTTATCATCATGCCTTGTAACGGCATTACTGGTAACCCTATAGATGACACAGTGCCGATGACAGGCACCTCAGATGGAGTCAATATTTTGGGAATATTGGTCTTCTGCATCTGCTTTGGCCTAGTCCTGATCAGCATCGTCATCTGGTAAGAACGAGAAGCTGCTAACACGCAGATGTGGAAAATAATAGCAACATTTCAATAAAGTTTGTAAAATGCTAAAACACAGTATCATCATCCTTGGAAATATATGATGGCGTTTGCCCCCTACAGTGCACCTGTGCTGGGTCACCTTTCTCCCACAGGTATTCCCCAGTGGGAATCCTCTTCTTGGTTGGAGGACAGATTTTGAATCTGAAAGACATCAGAGTTATAGGTCTCCAGCTTACCATGTATGCTCTCACTGTGATCACTGGCCTGGTAATCCACAGCTTCCTCACCCTTCCCCTCATCTATTTCATGGTCACACACACAAGAATCCCTTCAGGTTTATGTTTGGTCTGCTCGAGCCTCTCACCACTGCGTTTGGGACGTCATCAAGGTGGGTTGGACTTCCAGTCTTCATTGTTGTTGGCTACAGTTCATACATTTTGCTAAAGATGGATCTGGCTTGAGGAAATACGGCACATAACACAAATAAAACAAACTACTGAATCTTGAATAATTATTTGATTACCATTGGTAAATTAATGTAATTTATATGTTTTTGTTGTGTTTTTTTTACATTGCGGTGACTCTACCAGTCAGTATCCGCTGTTTGGAGGAGAATCTCAACATGGACAAACGGGTGGCACGCGTAATGCTGCCTGACGCGGCCACATTGACCATGGATGGCACAGCACTTTATGAGGCAGTGGCTTCCATATTCATCGCTCAAGTTTACAATATGGAGCTTGATCTGGGTCAAATCATCATCATCAGGTATGATTTAATGCACATTGTAAACAACTCTTCATCTTTATAAAATGTAAATACATTCCTTGCATATTCTAGCTATTTTCAAATCAGTTTTCCTGGATATTTCTTGTGTATGTTAATTATTGGTACTTGTTTATCATTCAAAATCATGTAATTGCAGTATCACTGCCACAGCTGCAGCTGTTGGGGCCACAGGTATCCCCCAGGGCAGCGCGGTATCAATGACGATAGTGTTGACATCAGTTGGACTGCGGCTTGAAGGCATTTCATTTATCATCGCTATTGACTCGATGCTGTAAGTGTCTGTTTGTTTGTTCTGTGATTATTGGGCTATATATTGCATATATATTTAGACTGCTTGTACATGTTGTTAAGAGGATAACACAAAGTTACACATATTCTGAAAAACGTTAGACTTCCTCTGGTTGTGGTCAAGTCACACTCACAACGGAACTTCCTGTATGCTTGTTGGTAGAGATCGTTTGAGGACAACCACCAACGTGCTGGGGGACTGTATCGGTGTGGGTGTTGTGCAGCATCTCTCCAGACATGAGCTCCAGAGCTCAAGTCCTGCAGAAGAATGCTTTGTGAAAGACAAAAAACAAAGTGAGACCTTCTAACTGAGAGGCAATACCTCAGTGCATTCTTGCAGCAACAAGTCCTGCTAGAGTATTTTTTTGATTCAAGCTAGGCTAATGTTTAAGAAAATGCATGATGGCAGCTGTGCAGACATATATAACTCTTTATTAAAGATGACAAATAACTTTCTGAAGCGACTGTTTTCCCACCTTGGATTAGGTGTTAAAGAGTCTGTGTTATTGAAAAGAGACACTTAAAATGCATGAAATCTTAATGGAGCTTTTCTTGATATACACTCGTTACTGTACTTCACATGATTTTGCTGCACTCCTCATTGGAGATGTTCCAATAAAAGGTCATTACTATCCAATCAATTTCAGGAACATTTTGGAAATACAACATGTATATATTTTCTGTTCAAATAAATATGTCCATTTTATGAAAATAAAAACAATATCAGAGTCAACAATAGTCCCACAAATTTGTAAAATCTCACCTAATTTACAAGAGCTGCTGTGACAATGTCTCACTGTACTTTTACTTGTGTGGTCTGAACAAGATCGCAAGTTTTTTGTGAAAATTTCAATCAGAAATGCTCTTTAAAATTGTGCAATAATGTTGTGCAAAATTGTCATATTTAAAAATAGCAAGACCTCTGGGATAAATCTGATTATTTAATTTAGTTAGTTTAGTCTTTTTTTAGGGGAATACACACACGTGTATTTGTAACCTTTCTTCTTAATCAAATTGTTGTAGGCAGAAAACTTTAGTCAATTGAGAACATTGCAAGTATTCTTCCAACTGACCATTTTTTGTGTGTAAATACTGCAGAGATTAGGTGAAATTGTAAAGTATTGTAAAGCTTTCCTTTTCTTTGACCAAATGTTGGCCATTTTGATAGCTAACTGTGTAGTTGTTCTGTCATAATCAATAACGCTTCAGTAGACCTTGAAATAATATCACACTTTTGAGAGAAAAATATTTAGCAAATAAATTTGTTCTATAATCTTTTTTTTTTGGAACACCATTTATTTTGACTCCACAACAGAAAAAAAATAAAATATACACATTCACATCTTTTACATTATATCACTTCCATCACTGCCATATATTATAATTTATAGATATTTACATATATTACAACGCCACATATGGCACATTACTAATTTAAAGGGCAGCTGGCTATTTATGCACAAAAACCTCAATTGTATTTTTAATGAATATCTGTGCAGCCCGACACCAGTGACTATTTGATGTCAGTGGCAGCCACAGCTTCCAGCCACCATGTCATTATACTGTTTCAGCACCACATTCTCATCATCATCGAAGTAGAGCAAGTTGATGGAAAAGAGCTTGTCGGGCACGCAGCACGGTGTCTCAATGCCGTTGATCAGCTTCAGAGCATTGATAATGGACTGGACAGTGGCGTGGTTGGTTGGCCTCATGTTCTGACCCAGAGGGAAGGGGCAGGAGCCTTTGCAGTGGTAAGCGTTGTAGCCCCGGGGAGACACGATCCAGCCCGACCAGCCGATCTCCTCGAAGTCGACGTAGAGGGGCTGGCGCTGGCAGGGCAAAGCACCTTCCTCCTCGCTGTGGTCCAGGGAGCGGGCGGTGCGGGAGGATGGACCTGACATTGGGGTTTGGGGCAGGCTGGAAGTGGCTGTGGCTGTGGTGTCATTTGGGTCTGATGAGCAAAAATAATCTTTTGTCAGAAAGCACAGTATTTTATACAGTAGGTTCTTATGAATTGGGGCCTCTAACATTTTTTCGTCCTTCCCACATTTCTCTTATTCAGTTGTATTGTCAGACGCCGACTGAGGAAAGTATTGTATTGATAGCCAATTCAAATTTTCCTTAAGAAATGTGTCTGGTAACTGTATGGTAAGAAATGTGCAAATTTAAATGTGAAAAAGATTTGTTTGAGAGAAATGGAGACCTAAATCTCACCTATGCTTTCAAGAGTAGTTGAGCGGCGGCCATCGTCGGTGAAGAGGACCAACATGGGCTGTTTACTCTGGTGGTGGGTGCGTCCTGAAGCAAAGCGGATCAGTTTCATATCCATCATGCTTCCTCCCAGGGTCCGAACCACCACGTGGAGCCCCAGGTTACTGAGTTCATCTACCATCCAGGAGCGCACCTTCATGAAGAAGTTTACATTATTAGTCAATTCAAAAACACATAATTCAGGAAGTTATGTTCAGAATGCACGTACATAAGTTAGTGCAAGCCCTAAAAAGAAGTGAATACCCACTGCTTGTGTGATGGTGAACACTTCCCAACCAGTAGAGTGGACTGGGATGAGTCGAGAAGACAGCAGCTTCCTTCCCTGTGTGTTGTTTCTGCTGGTGTCAAGCAGCTGATAAACGCTGACCTGAATGAGACAAAAGAGATGGGGGGGTTACAGTAGTGTCCAACAGAGAGATACTTCCTTCATTAAATTGTAACCATGATGGTATGTAATGTTACGTACCTGGCAGAAATGGTGTCTATTGAATGTCAGTGTTGACTGAGGTCTCAGCTTGAAGAGATGGAGCTCTGCAGTGAGAACCTTCTCAGTACTAGCAACCGTGGACAAATTGAACCTGAACTCCACCTGTTCACTGTGCACTGCAATGGAAATTACGACATTAGAGACCAGAACAAACGTCATCATACTCCGCTGTATACAGTAACCATGCAGTAGCAGTAACAGGCGTGAATCAAAATCTTACATTTGTCAAAGAAACTGCGCACAGTATTCCCCTCCAGAAGATACGGGTCTTTGGTCACACCGTCCACATCAGCAACCGTGTTGTACAGGTCAAGCATGTACTGAGGGGCCTGCTTGTGTCCATGGACAGCAGGGGGGTCCTCCATCCCAAAAACCTCCAAAAGTCTCTTCATGGCAGCTGAGCGTACTTCCTCTGACTCAGTCTCGGCGCTGAAATGATTCTCCAGGTAGCTACGTGAAGGCCGTGCAGCGGCGGTGCACGCTAAAGCGGCGAAGCTGATAACAAACAGCATCATGGCTAAAAGTTTAGTAGATCCCTTGTGCGTCGGTGTCCTCGGACCACACAACCGGCCAGCAACTTGGAGTACGAGTGACTGCAGGGTCCTGGAAGCGCGACTTTTTATATCAAATGCTCCCCTTCACTCTTCAGTGCCCCCAAAGCCTTGGTAAACAGCAGTAAAGATGCTATTTAGTCGCAAATGTAAATCACCAATCAGCGAATGTAAAGGGAGACTAATGGCGGCGTAAACAAGGTGTGAACCCGATTGTAGGTTTTACTCGAGCCCATTGTCTCCACGTCTGGCAATAAACGCTCAAATAAACTAATTTCAGCCTTTGAAAAAGCTTGATACTTATTGACCAGTGATGTTGTTGTTGTTGTTGTTGTTGTTGTTGTTGTTGTGGGATATATTTCCTCTGTGATCTTCCATGTTATAGAGGAGGAATGTAACGAATATGAACAGAATCCACCTGGAGCTGATCTGTTGAGGAAGTGTACTCACCATGGGAGGTTAACTGCTCCTAAATGAATCCATTAATTTAGAATAATGGTCACAGTGTCTTAGGTGGAAACCAATTACTTCGATAAAGAGACGGGTGTCGCTGGCTACACGTCGCGAGATTTACATAAACTGCTCATCCAGCTGGATAATCACCAAATTTGCAGTTTTGTGGTTTAAAAAAAAATCAACTGGACTGACCTCCTGTTATGGCTAAATGGATGTGGTGCTGAAAAGATTACTGTAACTTCCAGCAATTTCTCTCTTTTTCCCCATAATAAATACACTTTTCTGTAATAAATCCATTAAATCATTTAGATATGTCATATATATTAACTATGTAAAACATTTTTTAAATGTTAGGTGTTCTTTAAGGTTATGTTTGATTCATTCATCAAAGCCAACTTAATCCCTTCCTAGGAAACTGTCTAACTGTGCCATTTGGTTACTTTGATCTTTACGCACAATTACGCACGAGTAAAAGACAGGTTGACAATGAAAAAAGTCTGTTTCCCCCACTGTAATAAACATTTAAGAGATCTAAGTTTTTTTTCTACATCACACCCTGTAAGCAAGTCATAAAACCCCTTATAGTGTGACAGAAAAAAACACAAAAGAGTTGTTTCACACGTTCATATCAAATAAGGAGCTATTTACTACCTGCACGTGTTTTCTTTCAAAGGCACGTTTGCGAAATTGCTTAGCTTTTCATATGCTCCTTTCCAGTGATTCTTCAAAGTCTAATTTCGTCTCTTTGAAACTTTAGACTCTGATACTTATTTAAATCAATTTCAGATTTCATTGATTCATAGATTGTCTTCAAGTCAAAAAGACTGTCTGTCAGGCCTCCCAATACTTCCACTTGTTTCTGTTATGTTAACTTGTTTTCTGAACTCAAACAAAGTTTATGAAGTTTTTATACTAAATACGTTTTTTTATAATCATTTAGAATAGGGCTACACATTCGAATGTCTTAAATGGCATTTGAATTTGTTTTGCTTCGGATTGTGCCTTTCCAAAATGTTTTAAGTTGTATTAGCAGTTTAGTAAACATGTTTTGTTCATGCTCCCATGACAAGTCCTCACACATTGTTGAATTAAATTTATTTACAAAATTATCATGTTTACATATATTACATATAATACAATAATACTTTAGGGAAGGAAATTCTTAAACAAATGTTATAGTAGTGGTGGGGTCATCAACGGGCTGTGAATTCTAACTTCTCATGTGAAGAGATTGGAAGTTATTTTTCCAGTAGAGGGCGCCGTGTTCAGTTTTGGCAAAGACAGGAAGTGATGGAGAGGACGGTGCGTATCTGACCATGCGGGTTGAGGAAGCTGTGGCTCTCGTAGCCCTGCGGAGCGCAGGAGCTGGACTGTCTTTCAGTCCATAAGTGGCAGATTGCAGGATCAGACTGACTCCTGCAAAAGAAAATCGCAAGAACATTAAAATCACTTTGTTAGTTATCTACATTTGGCCTCCTGTTACATTACAGTCATTGAGCAGACACTTTTATCCAAAGCGACTTACAATAAGTGTATTCAACAT